CTTATGATGAACAGAAAACATTTTTCATCCAAAAAAAAAAAAAAAAAAAAAAAAAAAGACTTGTTTTTGAAGTTCCTTGTAAAAATGACCTGCGCCTGTAAATTCCCTGGATAGTCCCGAAACTTTTTTTTTTAATATTTTCTTAAAGGACATTTTCGATTTTTTTTTTTTTTTTAAACTATGATAGAAGCCAAATCAATCAAATTATCTTCAAGACATTATTTTTATTACAATCTTCCAAAAACTTTCGCAGAACCGCGCGCAAAACGTATCCGAACAACCCCACCCCAAAAAAAACTTCGGGGGGGGGGGGAAGAAGAAAGAAGGCGAGAGAGAGAAAAAAAAATGGTAATTAATATTGATTTAGAAACATATGCCGTTGGTTGCCAAGGAAGGAATTTCCGACCCCGACTAAAAAGATTTTAGGAATTTCCTGAAAATTACTAAGGTTTTTAATTCCACTTGACTTGCTTTTTTAGAATCCAAAAAACTAAAGTAAACTGTCATCGGTGTTTCAACCTTATTTATAAAATCCTAACATTTTTCATAAACTTTTAAGCGGCGTATTTTCAAAGTTTACATTTTTGTCTAACCCAGGGGTCCCTAAAATTAATGCCTGGAAGTTAAATGGGGGTCGATAAATAAATCGAGGTGACTTACGACTAATTAAAAGTAAAACTCACCAATATTTCCGACCAAATGTTAAGTTATTATTAACTTAATAATGCCCTTCTCTTATTAATCATCAACAAACACAGCCTTCCAATTATCAGACAATTCAATAAAAAAGGTATATTTATTTTCAGTGTTTATTATTATTACCTATATTATTTATTAAGGTTTTCTCATTATTAGTTGAACAAACATGGCAAATATAGAAATAAGACTAAAGAGTAAGACATTTAAGAAGCGGAGATACCATGAAGGCAAAAAATGGATTAGTTTTTTTTTTTCCTGAAATGAAAGCCAAAAATTTAGCTATCAGCTGTATTAAAAAAAAAAAAATAATAATAATCTACACTTAATATTTATTAAAAATTAATTGTAATTTTTCAGTGTGATTTTGAAATTCATCCCACTGCTGGCCGTAACCAGATTTTTTTTTTTTTTATTAAATAAAGACACATTTGAAGAACCAAAATGTCATTTTTAAGTGTTAAGATATTTAAAAGAATTTTATTTATTTATTTTTTATTTTAGCAACTGTCAATTATTCTTACTTCTGTATGGATGTTCCAAAAGGAAATAATTCTTAATTACGCTTTCCTATCAGAAGAGTAACACACTGTAAGTGTAATAATTTAAAAACACCTCATTGTTCAATTCAATATTTTATGACATTAAACACTAAACAGGAAAGAAAATAAAAAAAATAAAAGCAATGTTTTAAACACAATGTGATGCATGTTGTGGTGCAATATGGATATCAGCTCGGAATGTGAAACCAGAGAACATAGTTCAAATTCTAGATAAATTCATTTGGTAAGGAAGGATTCTTCTCCTCTCCCCCAGCTATGGGCTGAACATCAAGACAGACTGGGTCCTATAGCTTTGGGAGGCAACCAGTCTACCTTAAAAAAGAAACCATCTACGGGGGGAAATCTGCCTAGTCAGTCAGGAATCAAGAGAGACATGATCGCCCAAACCAAACGTGTATCACGTATGGTACTTGAACTTGACTGACTGATTAAACTCAAAAATATCATTTTTAACTACTTCTAATGTTGAATAAAAAGCAAAATCATTCATACTACAAAGTTTTTTTGAAAAGCATATAGAATGAAAAAAATTATATTCTTATGGGATTGGTTATAGAAGGTAAAAAATAAATGTATTTTTAATTTTAATAAATATAAATGTTAATTTCCTGATTACACAGTTGGTGTCTCGTATTTTTTTTAACATGCTTTTTATGAGACATTACAGCAGAAAATTATATTTGCTGACCTATCACCTTACAGGCTACCATTCATAAATAAACTTTATTTTTGTCAGGTTTTAAGCAAAAAGTATGTTTAGTTTACAAAATCCAGTTTTACATTTACTAAGTAACTTTGAAATACATGACAAATATTGCATTTTTAAATTTTTTTATAACAGTGGTTGAGGAGTGACTATGCCGAGGTTTTAAAAATGCCCCCAAATCTTTACATATAGAAGCTTTTTTTCTCTCTCTAATTATGTATTAGTCTTATTGAAAACTTAAAGCAATCTTTCACTAAAAAAGTTCATGTTGGTGAGAGAGAAACTTTGATCAATAAATCTCAGAATCTAATCAATGTTATTTCATAAAAATGACAATTCCTCTTTTGGGAAATGTCTCAAAATAAGCAACATGACTTAAATTTGATAAATTCTTAGTGATATTGCAAAGCTCTAATTCAAAAACAATTTGTTTTGTTCAAGACAAAGAAAAAAAAATATTTTAGGAAGGTGTACAAAAGACAAAGTTCTTAAATCATTGAGTAATAGACATGAACCTGAAATGCCTGATAGACTGCTCTTTTGAAGAAACCTGTTATTAAATCAAGACATTTACTAATCAGAAATGGAAAACTCATAATTCAATGACTGCCAGTATTTTAAAAAGAATTTTGAATTTATTTTGTGCATGTATAGGCATGTTGATTGTTCTAAGTATGGATGTCTAAATGTGACATTATCAAAAAATAAGAGCAATAATTATAGTAAAGTTAAAATTTATTGGTAATTTTTAACATTTCCTCAACAACTGTTTTCATAAGTTAAACTATAAAGCGAACGTACCTAAAATCCAATAAAATATTAGATTGCATAAAATATTTTAATTTTTTAAAGATTATTGGGTAGTTTAAAAAAATTTTTAAAAAGTTTTTCACATTATATTTAGACAATTGTTACAGTTAAGTCCCCCTTACAAAAAAATTCCCAAACAAGTTTATCAAGACAGTTGCAATACCTCATAAAAACACCCACCCGTTAAAAAATGTTTTCGCAATATTTTAAAGTACTGTAAAAGTAATATTTGTTACAAATCAGATTAATTAAACTTTAAATCAGCCAATCCTGCTCAAATAAAGTTTCAGAAAAGTATATTTTTTTTAATAAAGAGAATTACGTTGCGTTGACAGATTTGTCAATATGGACGATTTCAGCGTTTTTTTACCGATAACAAAAAACTAAAAAAAAAAAACTAATTCCAATCAATTTAAATTCAGTTTGTAACACAGGAAAGTATTTTGCTTATTGGAAATATTTAGCTTGAAAAGTAAAACTAACAAATTTAAAAAAAAAAGATATTTAATTTAAAAATGGATTAGTTATTTTAAAACTTTAATTTGTTCATATAACTTACATTTTGTAATTTAAAAGTTAATTTTATTCAAACAGGTAAAAAAAAGTTAGGTACAAGGTACCTCAAGCAAGTCCAAACCAAAAGGTATCGCTTCTCTTTGGAGGTACATACCTGTTGATTGGGTTTAACAACTTTTAAATTACAAAATTATGAACGTTTATATAGGAAAAAGCGTAAATGCCGTGACAGTTAAAATTAGCAAGAGGAAGAAATCCTAAGGAATTCGGATTTATGATGAAAAATAAATAAAAAAAATAAAAAGAATATATTGTTTTAAAATGGATTCTCAAATAGAATGAATTATTTTTTTAATGCGTTCACCATCTTGGACGCAATGAAAAAAACAAAAAATAGGGTAGAGAATTTTTTATAATAAAATAAAAACAACTTTCTATATTTTTCCAAGTTTATTTTTCAGATTTAAAATTAGAAACGATAAAAATTTTAACTGAACAGTAATAACTTAGTAAAATTATTGACTTACGTTTCCAATGTTAAAAAAAAAGGTCTCCCCCAAACCCATTTTTTGTACAAAAATGGGGTGCGCGATGGGGGGGGGCTTTAAGACGGAACCAGATTTCCGTTTATTTTCAACAAGTGTTTAAAACTGAAAAACTTGCAAAGAAAAAAAAAAAAAAAAGCAACCATTACCCGAAATCAAAACTGGTTTTCATTTCTACAATGGTGTGGTATGAAAATCATAAAAACGGAAATATCGGATTTTCTAAAATTAGGTGCAATTTAAATAAACTTCTCTTTCTGTACCAAAGTCTGTTGGAAGTCGAAGGTAAATGAATGTAATGACAATCTTTAAACATTGGTTATTTAATTACCATAAAAATCAAGGGGGAAAAAAAAAAAAGAATCTTTTTATTCACTTAAAAAAAAAAAAAAAATCGTTTACTTAATTATTTTTCTTTTCAATTGTTTTAGTTTAATAATCGTTTTTATTCTATTTTAATTTCATAAGAAAATTTTGTAAATCCTATAGGAATAAAATCAGTTCATCATTATTGTTAATGTGGTTTCCTCTTTGAACTGATTTTTTTTTTGTGTGTTGTTACATTTCACTGCAAGAATTTAAAACCCCAAAATGGGAGGGAATGAAATGAATTTTTCTTAACTAAAAACATGTTTTTGTTTCATTCAGAAAACCAATACAATTATAATTAATCCAGGTTGGGTTTTTCTTTGTTTTTTTTAAATACAAGAGAATCCCAACTGAAGACTCGAAATTTCGCATAAAAATTTATACTTACCACTAAATTTAAAGGTAGATATTTAGTAACACATTTTGGCTGAATTAGAAGTTCCGTCTTTCCTCGTATCGGAATTGGTTGGTGACAACAATACACGCCGCTTCGGTCAGCCATAAACCGACGCACTGTCGTAAATTCAGTTACTTACTCTTAGAAAAAAAAACTAACCGCAAAAACTTATATATCCGAACTAAAGGCCTAAATCGCCAATTTTTAAAACGATAAACATATCGATCTTCTAAATGAGATAAAAATACCTTAAAAGTTTTCAATATGTTCTATTCTTTTTGAGTTTTCCAGTCATTAATTTTAATTTGATTGCCGTTAGTGGGCTCGTAACTAGTAATGTTTATTACCACGTGTGTGTCTGCAAATGTCGTTTTTACATACTTCTCCTTTTCTCCTAAATGTTTAGTGTTGTGATCCAGATATTTTATTCGGTGCTAGCCACCTTCCTTGGACTTTTAGCTGTATGGCTACTCATATGTATCCTTTATCGTGTCACCCGTGGATTCTTTCGGCGAAAGAAAGGAAAAAGACGACAGAAACCAGTATCTGTTATGATTGTTGTTGGATCGGGTAAGTAATAAGTAGTAGTAATAATAATAATAATAATAATAATAATTAGACTTACTTCACCAATGTACTACTGATTTTTTTTTTTGAAAACGGTTATTAACAGTTTCCAAAAATCCCTTAAAAGGGGAATATTAATTATGATTGCATTCTAACTTAAGGATCAGTCAGTTTCTTCTGTAAAATAATGTCCTTACGTTTTTGACGAATTGAATTTTCAGTTTTTGAAATCAAGAACTTCTAACATGAAAATTACAATGAAATTAAAATTAATGTTTTATTCTTCTTAATACTTACAAAAAAGACAATTAAGCAATTGAGATTTTGTTTTAATAACAAAAACAGATATGGTCTTCTTTTCCTGTTAAAAAGTAGTTTAAAAAAATTTGTTTAATTGTTTTCCTTATGCGATTACGACCCGCAACCTCCCAAAAACCCGTGTTAAAAGTAAAAAAAAAAAGAAAAAACATAACCATTTGTTATTTTATTTTCTTTCATTCTATTGCTTTTTTGAAAGTTCTGATAGTAGAAGTGTGTGAATAAACTTGGTTTTTTGGTCTAAAAATAATTGTCTAGCAATTAAAAAAATAATCTGGCAGTACATTTTAATAATCATAAATAAAAAATACAACCTAAAAAAATCCCTTATTTGTTAGAAAATAAATTTATTCTGAAATGAATGATTCATCGTATTTTTTGCTTTGCAACAGTTAAAAAAAAAAGTTTGTAATCTTAAAAAGAAAACCCTCAATAACTTAGTAAGTTAAGTGTATTATTTTTTTTCCTTTACTTTTTTAGAGATTTTGTCCCGTAAAGAGTAAAGTTGAATTACTTTTTACAATTTTACAAAGTGGTCACACAATAATGCACTTCTTTTTTATTGAATTAATCATATAATTGTTTAATTTGTATATTAATTTATGTAAAGCAAAAAAGAATACAACGTGCAGGTCATTTTTTTAAGCTAATGCCATGGTGCACTTAGTCAAGCCACAGACATTATGTGGTCTTCTTGTCCCTTTTCCGTTAAGTATATAATTTTTAATTAGTGCTTGGTATGCAGCCAAAAGGTAATTTGAAGCGCTAAAATCCACTATTGTCATTTTACGGTTCGAACTTTGAGGGTGGTTAATTATTTTTTTCAACTCATTTTTGTTGTAGGTCCCTCCCTGCTTAATACACGTTATTTTTTGGATGAAAAAGGGATTTTCTTTAATATTGTGATGATTCCTCTACGCAATCATTGTTTTTGTTTATTAATGTTGTAATTTATTATTGCATATCATTGATTTTTAACTTGAGTGGGACGTTTCTTATTCTTAGGACAAAAAAAAATTAGTAAATAAGTCCAGAAAAAAGACTTTAATCCGAGGAAAAATTTTTTAAAAAAAAACATAATTTTCTCGAAATTAATATTTTCATTAAGGCTTCGTTTATTAAATATCTATTTCCAGTTGTACTTGTCCCATTTATATTTTAATTATTTACGCTGTCAAAAGAAGACACATTATTATGTTAGTTAGTCAATGTCAATTGCGTAAACCGGTGTTACTGTTAGAGAAGTAACCCTAATAAAGAAAAACAATATTTGAACACTGATTTGTACAGATAGGCTCATAATTTGATATACTGACGCAATATAATTAATTTTCCTATTATTTATTCATGCCTTGCACTAGCTTTATGTTCCATTTAGCTAAGATTAGTAAATAAATATAGCAATCTCTGAGCCGGTGAAAGTTGAAATTTTCTCTGTTTATATAACTTCCAACAATTTGAAAGCTTAACTTATTTTGAAAAAATTCTAAATTTGTGATATAAAATTAAATCCATTTGTAAGTTCTGAGCAAATTTTAACAAAAAACATTAATGTTTTTTAACGTCAGTGGGAAAACAAGCACATTTCTAAAATCATTACCAAAAAAGTTTTCACTAAATGTCCTGATCTGAATTTATTTAAATAAACTTTCTGACTAGTAAGAAACCTACTTAATGGGAAGGAACTGATGTGAGTATTTAAATACGAAAATTGAAAATGTAATTATTTATTCGTCCTACCCCCCCCTCACAGATTCAGAATTGGAACTTCACGCATACATGAAATAGGGAATAAAAACTCTCCAGCTCCCCTTTTTGGGATATCTCAATCATCAGGAATTAACCTTGACTAAAAAAAACACCCTTTAGATATGATGGAACTCCTTGCAGCAACTAGACATTAAATTTATTTCTCATTCAGAAGGCAGAAAGCTAGATAAAGTAGAAGTGAAAAGAAATTGGAGTTAAAAAAAAAAAAAGAAAGGAAAAGAAATTGGAGTAAAAAAAAAAAGAAAGGAAAAGAAACCAGGTAAAAAGGAACAAAAAAAAAAAATGAAAGAACATGGACCATCTTGTTGGTTGAATGCTAAAAGACATTGAGTGAATAATTAGAAGGCAGACAGGGATAGAAAAGGCAAATCGCAAATATTTTAAAATTCATTATGGAGAAATAAAGCAAAAGACATAGACTGCAGTAGGAAATGACTTACAAAAAAAAAACAGAAATATGTACATAAGATTGTGTGTGTGTGTGTGTTTTAGATATTTTTATTTTTTTTTTTGTGAGAGATTTCCATTAGTCTCTGTCTGGACAAGAGATGTTTATATGTAAGATTCAATTTTGCACTAATTTTGAGTATCTATGTGCATAAGAAATGTATGTGTTTGGAGAAAGACTGAAAAATGGGTTCTTCAGTTGTTTTTTGTTTTTTTATTTGACCAAGAAAGATATCAGCATTTCTATTTTTGTATTCTAACAAAACTTTTACCAAAACCATTTTATTTGCCATGTAATATCAGCTGTGTCAAAATGAACATGAAATAATTTCAAGTTTACACACAAATTCAATACATGCATATATTTTTTATGCAGCGGGGCAAAATTAAACCATTAAGATTTTAGGGCAAGAGTTTTACTGAAAATTTACTGAAACATTGCTCAAGTATCTGTTGCATCTTCAATGATTACCCTACTCTGTTTAATTCTACTCACATTAAAAAATACAGTTTACAACCTACAAATTGCCCCTAACCTACACACACAGTATTTTTTTTTTTTTTTAGTCAGTAAAAGCAGCTGATGCATTCAATGAGAATTCCCAGAGGCAAAAGGGACAAGAGTTCAAATCTCACTATTCCTGTACATTGATGGCCTGAGTAAAGAAGAAAAAAAAGTCCTGGAAAATTGACTGGACTTTTCCAGGGCTTGAAAAGTCCTGGAAAACAACAATAACCCAAAAGCTCATTGGAAAGTCCTAGAATTTTCTAAAATGAGCTGCCCACACATCTCTCAATTCATGAAAGTCAAAAAGCTAGAAATCTGTCTTTTTTACAATCTAAAATTGTCCTTTATGAAAAATGTTTTTAGTTATTAATAGTTGGCAATTATTGCAGTTTGTTTTCTTGATTAGAATGAGTTCATGATCTCAGTTACTTCTGTATTTTCTCATCTAGGTGACGAGAAAGGAAGGGAGAAAGAATATGAAGGCATGTCTTCTCTTAGCTGCTACTCTCACTCTACAAGAAAAGAGGAAAAGCAACAGTAAAAGGTGTCTGAGACTAGTCTCTTTCAAAGAAAAATTAATTCACACTCATTGAATTTGTAGTTGAAAGGAAAATAAATTATTTTAAAGTAATAAAATACATTTTAATAGAATCTTGAAAAATTTATCAGTGTTTTTTAAAATTTAAACACTTAAAGAAATTTTATTCAAAATTAATTTCAAAAGTAAAAAGTCCTTTTGTCACTAGCAGTGGGTGAGTTCATGCTGACAAAATAGACATTTTATGCATCAATGTGTAAACTACATTTCTCTAAATTGTTGCCAAAAGTAACAATTTTGACAATCAAATTTGACACAAAATGTAGATGGGAAGGATGATAGAATAGAAAATGTTCCTTTGATGTGTTTTCAGATAGGATAGAAAATGCATGTTTATTTTTAAAGTTGCAGGCTAATAATGACCTGTATCTCTAGCTTTTGTTGTAAGCATGAAAAAAATGATCAACTATATTAAAACTTATTGCTTGGCTTTCTATTAAAAGTTCAATCTGGCAGCCCTGTTCCTTTACTTTTGTATTTTGGCCATAGATGGCTAGAAAATGTACAAACATGTGAACGACTCCTAGACATTTGGCTAAATGTCATCAAATTTGTGAACTTAATTAAAAAAGCAGAAAAATGTCCTGAGACCAAGTCCTTCTCTGCGGGGCTATCAAATGCAAATGACGTTTTATTTCCAATGAAACTGCAGACTTTTGTGTCTGTTTCGAAAGACATTGAACCATTTCTGATAAAATAAACCCTAACTTCCTATATTTGCAGATGATCATTTTTCTTATAATTAATCTGGGCATCATGGATTGAAAAGTATAGAATGCAGCATTAACAAATTTATTAGTAAATCCATGTAATTTGCATACATGCTGCTAGTTATCGAATGAGACGGCAGTCCAAGAGAATGATGATGGGAAACAACGCCCAATATACCCATCGTAAAACCCAGTCTAATAACAGTATACAAGGTACATCATTATTATTATCATTATTTAATTTGCTATCTTCTCTCACTTTTAGACATTTTGGTCGAGTGATAATGTTCATATCTCAGTTCCTACTTGCGACTTAGAGACCCATCACCTTCCATAGGACATGAGATGTTTCAATTAGTGTTGCCACCTGTGCACTATCAATTATGTCAGATATCCCTTCAGGCATCTTGCGAAGCAGAAATATTCTTGGAAATAGTCCTGAGTGCACCAACCAGAAATGAGACAACTTGAGCTGCTGTTGGGTACATTTCTCCAATTTCTATGACAGGTCTTTGTATCTCTATATTTTTGCCAGCTCCGCTTTCACAATGTTCTTATCCCAAGGCACCGTAAAGTCCATCAGGATCAGCTTATGGCTGCTCTTGTGCACAAGTGTGATGTCAGGGCAATTACTCTACAGATGCTTGTCAATAAAGATGGTCGTATCCCACATTTATTTCACTTTCTCATTTTGGCTATATTATTATTCAGTCAGAGAGAGAGAGAGAACACAGATCAACAAGTGAAGCTGGAGTACAAATATACAATGCTCAATATGCCCATAATGACACCTAGACCCATTAAGGGTATGCCAGGCACATGCACCACAGCCAAATACGCGATGCTCAATATGCCCATCATCACACCTAGACCCATTAAGGGTATACCAGGCACACGCACCACAGCCAAATATGTGCAATAGGATGACAGGTTTTGATAGGTGGAGCCCAGTTAGGCAATGTAACACAGTCCCCTCTGATAATCCTTCATTGAAGGTGTTCCTAAGTATCTAGAGGTAACTCTCAAGCCACCTTATCTGAAAAAAAAAAAAACAAACTCTTGACACCTAGTCAGGATGTTCCCCAAACTACTTTTGCCTATGAACAGTGTCAGATCAAAGGGGACATGGTTTATGGTCAGGCAAATGACAAGTGAATCTGTCATATTGAACAGGATATTTATTGTAGCCTATTTTAATTCACCAAGAAAAAACATGTACACTTCAGGCAAAAAGTTTGGGGAAACCCAGTATTTTTTTATTTTTTATTTTTATTCTTTTTTTTTTTTTTTTTTTTTTTTTTTTTTTAAGTAAAAGATATAATTTTAATAACTACACGTCCTGGGTATGACAATAAACTACATCCAGCAGCAAGACCTCTGATCGTGAGGTTTTTGAGGAGCATGGAACCATCTCTTAATTGTTGTTGTTCCCAGGTACATCTTAAGCTGGAGTGGTAGCACCTGTCAGGGTTTTTCCTGTGCGCTAGGGTTTCAGAATACACCAACTGCACCTCTCCAGTGAAGTACAACCCCCTTCCACCTCCATGAGGTAACCTTTTTGTCGTAGGTGTCGACCCATAATGTCAGTGGACGGGATCTTGGTGGTTGAGGGATTCAGGAGTCTGGTTTAGATACTTCTGATTCCAACACACTACTTTGGCCCTTATTTGGACTAGACAGGTTGTCGGAGAGACCCAATCCAATCACTCAGCTGGTCATACCAACCCCTAGCACCTATAACTATATCAATTTATGGAGTACTTTATAACTAAATATAATAACCCAAATATACACCAGGATAAAATACCATCTCTATCCAATTTATAGGCACTAGAAAGCAATGGCTGAAGGTCAATCAGTTCAAAGAGATCTAGACTTAGATATGGCTGTAAACATACTAGTTTGTACATTTATCATTTGGGAAGTGCAACAAATGGTTTAATGGGTGCTCAGAGTCTCTTTCAAATATGAGTATACTGCTTTGTGTAGCCTTGACCTGTCAAGATGGCTGGGTTTCCCCTTTGACACATTCCTGAGATGGGTAGGGAGCACAGGCAGGAAATTTTTTCTACATCCAAATTATGAATAATCAAAAGAAAAAGCCCAAGAAATGTCTTTCAGATTTTGATTCTGAAAAAGAAATTAATATGGAATTTACAAGATTTTTTTATGCTCACATCCCTAGGAGAAACTCCGCTGACAAAATTTTCCCCTTTCTTGATTGAAAAGGTACTATCCAGTAGGATTAACCCCAAAACAGTAAAGAAATTGAGAAACAGCAATTTACTAGTAGAAGTGGAAAATAGGAAACATAGAAAGTTCAATCAAGATAAAGACTTTTCATAACCTCAAAATGAAAACCTTCCTCCATGAAAGATTGAACACTTCTAAGGGAGTCATTATAAGCAGAGAGTTGTATTTGGGCACACCTGAGGAAATGACATCTGCCTTAGGAAGCCTGGGGTTCAGTGATTACTGTAGAATTGCAATAAAAAGGAAAGGAGAAACTATAAGAACAGACACATATATCCTTACTTTTGTCCCACCTCAAATCCTTAGAAAAATAAAAGTCGGGTACAACATTGAGCCAGTGGAACAATATATTCCTGCTCCACTAAGGTGCTTCAAGTGCCAAACATTTGGGCATGATAAGGATAGCTGCAGGAATCACACAACATGTGGAAAATGTGGCCAAAGGGATTCAGACCACATGGAAGTAGAATGCCACTATGAATTAAGTTGTGCTAACCGCCAGGAAAACAATCCAGCATACTCGTTATCATGCAACTCTTGGAAAAGGGAAAAGGAGATAGATTGGCGAGGTGAAATATAAATGAAACATCTTATACATTGAGGCAAAGCAAATTGTAGAAAGCTAATATAAAATATCCTTCCTATGCAAAAATAATGCAAAGAAGAACCACAATGAATACTAATCAACTTGATAAATACAAACCCCACATTGAGAAGCTCATATGCCAGGCTGTAGCTGTGGACTTCTCGGAAGCCTTTGACAGGGTTTGGTATGCCAGTCTTCTCCACAAGCTGAAAAGTTACAATGTTTCTGGACACTTTTTTAAACTGATCCAGTCTTTCCTATCAAATCATGAAATGAAAACTATATGGATACAGACCCCACAATTAGAACCAAATGACTGGGTCAAATTTCAGAACTACTTAAAAGACATATACTCCAAGGAAATAGTACAAACTGAACGACAAAAGAAAGAATAATAAGAAACATTCAGACTATTGTCCTCATCTTTATCGCCATGTTTATCACAGCATTGCAGCCTTCTTCGAATGGTTGTAATGTCAAACTGAACCCTTTATTTTGCTCACTTGTTCCATGACTAATGGATGTCAGTTATCTCCTGTTAATTCCCTTCTCAAAGTTCTCCACTGCCTTAACCGGGTATCGAACTCACACTCTTTGGGTCCTATCACTGAATCTAACTAACGTCTTTATCCACTGTGCCATGTGTCCTTGAGGACAGATATGTATGAATTTCTGGGTATTATAAACCTGTCTTCAGCAACCATTTTTACCAGTGCTCATATTGCAATTTTTGCTGTTATCATTACATGATTTTTACCAGAGCTAGTCCACAAAAATCTGGGCCGATCAAGCATAGAAATGAATACAATATGGGAACCAGTAATAAGGAGTGCCAGATAAAAGCGATAACAAAAATTGCAATATGAGCTCTGGTAAAAAACATGCAATAATAACAGCAAAAATTGCAATATGAGCACTGGTAAAAAGTTCTTTTTTTTCCATGATTGCCTTGACTAGAATCAAATCTCCAGCCCTCTCTTCCCCCCAAAAAACCCAACACTATAACCTCCACCATGTTTAACTGTCAGAACTACACATCATTCAGACTTTCTCTTGACATACACTCTCTTCTTACAACCAAAAAGTTCAAATTTGGACTCGTCTCTCCACAATATATTTTGTTGCTTTTTCATTGTCCACTTGTACTATTTTTTTCTTGCCGATAACATCTTTCTCGTTTTTTATCATGTCAGTAACATTCTATGATTTAAATATTATTTCTCTCTTGATTTTTTTTTTTTTTTTTTTAACCCACAACCCATTTAGGTGGCCACACCACAGAAATTTTGCGACTGATGAGTGGAGTTGAAGGAAAATATTATCCCCGACACTTTGTGGTTGCCAGATGTGATCGTATCAGTGAAAAGAAAATCCATACCTTTGAACACCGACGAGTGTATGGCTCTGAAGCTGAGAAAAATGTAAGGAATTTTTTTTTTTTTTTTTTTTTTCCAGTAATAAACCATAAAGCATCTAGAAGCCCGGCGAAAATAAATTGTGGAGTTAGCTTCTCTTTTCCTATCCACAATCCTCTTTCAAAATGTCTGCACCCTCTTGACACACACAATTTTATGTTAATCTCCTTCAGAATTCTGTTTTCAAATACTTGACACACCCTGTACATACCCTGGAAAATAGGTTGTTCAGAAAATAATATCCAATTTTAGAATAAACCTTTTAATTATGTTTTCGTATATTAGCATAATAGTTGCATAAAAATATATTAGTCATTCTGAATGATTAATGTGTCTTTGTTAATTTTATATTAACGTTTTATTTATTATTTAACTTTCTTTTTTTTTTCTTTTTTTTAACATTTTATATCTTTTAGAATTTAACTTCAAATATTATATAGCTGCCATCTTGAACATGAAAAAAGAAGAGATGCATTTACTTTTTTGTATGAATTCAAGCTTGGTTATAATGCTTCTCAAACTGCTGCCAACATTAACAGAGCATTGGGAGTGAAGGATCCACTTGTAATCGTACAATACGGTGCTGGTTTCTGAATTCTGCAATGGGGATACATATCTTGAAGGTCAAAATGATATGGGACAACCATCTGCAATTGACAATCAACATCTGAAAACACCAGTCAATAAAAGCCCACATTAAACTGTCAGAGAGATGTCGGCATTCTAACACTATCAGACCATCTCAAGAAAATTGGCAAAGTGAAGAAACTTGATAAATGGGTTCTTTATGAACTTCATGAAAGTCAAAGAGTTTGATGTTTTGAAGTGTGTTCGATGCTGCTTCTGCAAAATTCTAATGATTCATTTATTGATCAAATAGTGACTTGTGATGATAAATGGATCCTTTATGACAATCATAAATGATTGGTTCAATGGATTGATCAAGACAAAGAAGCCCAACATTTTCCAAAACGGAAATTGCGCCAACAGAAGATTATGATGACTATCTGATGGTCCACCTTTGGTGTTGTCCATTACAGCTTTCTGGAATTGAACCTGAGCTTCACTGCCAAAATTGACAGCCTGCAATTGGATGAAATGAAATGAACAGCAAGATGTGACCCACATCAGTTAATCGGCTAAGTTCAATTCTGCACTATGACAATCAAGATGACACCTGCTGAAGCTCACTGATTTGGTAGACAAGATTTTGCCATATCCACCATATACCCTGGATCTTTTGTACGCTGACAACCCTATTTTCAATCATTTTGACAATTTTTTTTTAAGCCAAAAGTCATTCTATTGCAAAGATGCAGAGACTGGATTCAAAGATTTCTTGGAACCAAATCTTTAACATTTTATCATAAAGGCCTAATTAACCTTTGAGTCGATATATAAATGTCTAGGGTTCCTATTTTGACTGATTTAAATATTGTTTCGATACATTAATTCTGAAAAAAACGTTGATTCCAAAATCTGACATTATTTTCCAAACAACCTAATATTTAATCCACCCCCGACCCCCACTAAAATACTCTTTGAATCAATAGGTTCATCTATCGTCCGGTTCACACTCCTCCTTGGTTTTTTGAACAGGAGTAGGGGTTTATCTCTTGTCTCCTGTTTAGGGTTGGATTTTTGGTTCCTTTAAAAGTTTACTTCAACTCCATACTACTTATGTATCTGCTTGAACTCTGAAATTTTATTAACTATTTGTTTTTTTTTTTGTTTTTTTTTCTCCTCAATAGAAGTAGATAGGTTCACCTATCGCCCTGTTCACACTCCTCTCCCATCTTTCAAACAGCAGTGGAGGTTTATCCCTTGTTTCCTGTTTAGGATTGGGTTTCTGATTCCTTCTAAAGTCTACTTCAACTCTATACTTCTAACATCTCCACCTGAACTCTGAACTCTTATTCAGTAATTAAATCTTGACCTTTTCAAGTCTATAATTAGCTATTTATCTTTGTTATCTTACCCTTTCTTAGGCTAATACAACTTTAGGCCATCTTTTGGGTGAACATTGGGGGGGGGGGGAGAATCCCTTGTTTAGCTTTACAGATAGTCAATACACCAAGACATATATACATACATATATATGTATAGCTGGCCACTCATCTTCAAGGATACCCATCTACTAGGGCAGCTAGCCAATCCCTATTGCAGACGCTTGCTTAGGCGTATTTGTGTTTATTCAACACCCACAGGGCCCACCTGTGGTTTATACTGCAACTATGCTGAGCAGACCTTAGTTACAATTTCTGGGAAAGAGCATGTTATCTAGTGTGATCAACAATTTGAACAAGGCCAGCATGCTCAAGCACTCAGACACAATGACTAGTGACTTTGTGCTAGCACAGCTATCAAAGGCCCCCAAGAGTATGGTTTTTCAAAGGTGCAAGACATGCTGGGATCGACCCCCTCCAGTCTGATAACATCAGGAAGTCTCCTTCCTGACAAATCGACGATGGTGAGATTCAAACCTGGGTCTTATAGTCAGAATGCAAATGTTCTAACCACTTGCCCTCATGCCCATATATATATATATATATATATATATATATATATATACATACAAGCAGAAAAGAAACCAACACTTGATTGGATAATTCATCTCAAGTTGAAGGGCCACTTGAAGTTTCTGTAATCATCTGCAAGTGTTACATAAGAAAATATTGCCAAATCTCACCACCTCTTTTACTTTTTTAAACTTGTCAAACGACTGCACTTATTTTTAACTCTTCTAGTCTAACCTTGTTTGTTACTTTCCAAAAACATACTCAGGATTAATATTTACAATCGTAACCATTTCATATCAACTTAGCTTAGAAATAAGCTCACTGGTGTGGGGAGCACCCGATGAGGATTGAACTGTTATATTTGTAAAGTTCTAGAGACAAGAACCATTACCCTCTGGTGATGTGATTTTATTTACTAAGTTTAATTTAGACTTGCAGAAGATCACAGATATGGATTGGCTAAGAAAATTTGAACACACTACACAAGCAAATCAGTCTTTGATATGAGTTTGCTAGGCATTGCCATATTTTTCTCAGCTTTAAATATTTAATCAATATTTTGATTCTCTATAAAGTTAAATTAAGTATTTGTACACAAAAACCTCAATAGTTTATTCATTGAAAGTAAAAAAATCACTTTTTTTTCTTCGTTGTTCCTTGCTAATCTTAAACTCATTTAACAATTGTTGAATTGTGGTGAACAGTCCCATAGAAGCAAATGAGCCAGAGTGGCTTGCATCTGGTGCATAGGAAAATAAGGGTCTTACCTTAACATGCGGCACGTGACATTGGCAAGTTTGCTCCATGAAAATGGCATTACTCTCCCATCTAGCAATTCCAGCAGCATGTGCAGTAACGAGGGTTTTTGTACAGTTTGGTATGCTTCCACCAATAGCAAGTCATGTGCTGATTGGTCGAACTGGAGGAGGCTATTTACCTGTGTAACCTGGGTAGCGAAGAACACTGATTGGTTGGTCAACCGCATTGTTGGCCTGATAAGAGGCCTGAAGCAGTGAAAAAGGGGGGAAAAACAGATTTACATTTAGAAGTGTTCAGAAAGCAAGAATGACGGATTGAACCAGTGGTATCTTGATTTTTACAAGTGACAATGTAGTAATAGAGACTCATTTAACTGACATGAATAAGTTCTGAAATTTTAAAGAAAAAACTGTGACGAGGTGAATGAACCAAGAAAATGAAGGTGTAGAGCAGGTGTGTCCCGTCCCTGTTTCTATGGCCCACAAGAAACTATTTTCATGACCAATATTTTCCTCAGATTTTAAGTTTAATAAATTTGTCCATTGCCCCTTCCATACTTTCGCAGTAACAGTATTGAGCATGACCTCCTCCACCCAGTGGTGCCAACAGACAGTCAATACTAATGTCAGCAGGGTCTGTTCTAGTTCCTCTCTAGTGAAGTGAAGAAAACTCAACTTCCTTATAACCATGTATTCTTCATCAGAATAACAGAGGAGGGGCTACAAATATATTTTCTGACAGTGTCTTAGTCTCTGCAATTTTATAAGAAATAGAATTTCCAGCTCATGTTAAACAAAGTTGGTTTAGAACCCCCCCACACACACCAAGACCCCTTCCAAAAATCCCATCCCCATTTGTTAATGGTGATACCAGTTAATTTTAATGTAAGAAAATGTGCTTTTACCAATGCCCCCCCCCCCCCACCTCAGGAATTGACCATTGTTATACCATGGTGACAGGCCTGCTTCTATCCTCCAGCAACCCTCCCTCCACACGTAATGGTCATTTTGTGTCCTTAAGTATCCTGGTGTAGGGTGGTGGTGACCACAGCTGCCAGCACTGAGGGATTGTGGGTAATGGTGGTGGTTATAAAAGAAGAAATGAGAACAAGTGGTGGAGGATTCTTCTGGAGGGATTCATATGGATATGCAATCAGTCAAAAAGAAGAAAATGGAGAAGGAAATCAGACTGAGTGCAAAGAGATAGAAGATCACATAGTAAACATGAACAGAGACGGACAATAAGATGGAAATTTATGTTCCCACTGAGGACAAAAATGAGAGAAACCATGTTAAGTCTTAGCTTTACTTTACTTTTTCTACTCTCAAAATGCAAAAGTTCATTTTGTGTGATTAGATGATTATCATTATCAGATGATTGTGAGTGTATAATTAGTTTTAATTCTCTTTAAGCAAATATCAGCGGATGTGTGGGTGGTGTAATGGATAGTAGCTTGAAATAAGAGAGCAAAGTTCAAATTTCAGTTGAGTTTTTTTTTCATTCACTTATGAAATTTTTTCCACCTTGTGCCCCAACCTTTAGGTTAAATAGTAGGACTTGTCTGGAAAATTGGAGAGTCAAGTTCAAATTTCAGTCAAGTTTTTTGCATTTACTTATATGGAAATACCCATGGAAAAGGTATGAATCCATCTCTTCATTACAATCACTATCTATGGATGAATAGTATAGCAGACTTGGTCCTTTGGCCTTGGTTGGTAACTGGTCTAGGAGATAGACAATTCTGAATTCAAAACCTCCAGCTATGGGTTAAATAGTTTCACCAACCTGCAATTGGCCAAGCATGGTGAGTATGGATACACTGCTGAAGAATCTGCCAATCATTGCTTTTGCATTTGATTCATCTAACAACTCTTTTTCAATGGAGAGTAACATGTATGATTCCAAATTCTCTTCAAACAGTGAATTTCTTAACCTTGTCTTTATGATCTTTAGCTTTGAAAATGTCTTCCTACATTGAACTTGAGTAACTGATATTGTGCAGATTACTTTATAAAGTACTTATTTCTTTCTATTATTAAAACTGTTTGTTTTTCTGTTTTTTATTGCACTTTTTATTTGATATATAGTACCCGCTCCATCATGAGCCTACTTGACGTCAGGCACTCTGACATATTCTGGCTGTTGATTCTCAAGTTATGACTTCCATAATATCCCTTCCCCCACTTCTTGGAAGGGGACAAATTCTTAGTCTCTCTTTACCCTGTGGTGGTGGTGGTGCAGGGGTGCATGAAATCCGCACACTTTTTTTTTTTTTTTTTAATATTATTACAACTACTCATCAGAGAAGAGGCGAAAAATGTTTTCAGAAAAAAAAATAACAATAAGTAAATACACCTGAGGAAGGTAAGAAAACCTACTGGCAGAGAGAAGATTCAATCGACAAGTAAGTCAAAAGTACTATTGATATTATTTCAAACCTATTTTGAAATGGAGTTGCCATTTATGCAGTGTTTTGATGGAATTACTCAGACTTTTCTCTGAATTTCTTTGTTGTTGTTGTTACCCCTAATGAATTTTGGAGGGTATATGCCAATCCGAGTAATCTACTTGGGATTTCTGAACTGAATCTACAGTGGTAGGTTGTTCCCATTCCACTACCCATGTCTAAGAATATCTCATCTAGTTCTTGTTTCTAGTAATGCTCAGTTACTGCTTGCCATTTCCACTGAATCCAAGTACACACTGCCTGACCCAGGGATTGAACTCACAATTATTACCGAATTCACAAACTAATGATTTAATCCACTAGGCTATTATCCAGTACGTCCTTTATAAATAAAAACGAAAAAGATGTGTACAATAGTTCACATGTAAATGGTATAAATACTTATAAACTGTTAGTATGAAAAATTGATTAAATTTTATTTTTCTACATGTAAAGTCTATCCAAGGGAGATAATTTATCATTAACAGTTGGCAATGTTTAACCGCCATGGCTGCAATGAAGAGGGAGGCGGGGTACCAAAAAGACGTTTAATTCTCTTGACATCTCCATTACTGTATACACTTTTGGCTTCCTCAGTAATATTTATTTAAAAATATATGAACTAAATACAATGTGATATTTATTTACCATTTTATAAAGAAATAGATTTGAAAAAGAAAATGTCCAGAAAATGCGTTTTTTTTTTTTTTATTCTTAATTACAAATTACTTATGTTTTTTAAATTTTCTTGTTTACAGGCATTTTTATAAATTTATGCATAAAAAACTTATTTTCATATTTATTTCTTTATAAAATGGCAAATAATATTTCATTATAGTAGCTTCACATATTTTTATAATCTCAAAAATATAGAATTATTCTTGCAAATAAACAATTTAATAAATAGTGTTTAACCCTAGAACACTAACCATCTATTAAAGTTACACCACTACTAACCATGAGTATATCATACCCGATTTTGAAAATATCAAAAAAAATATTAAATATAAATCTTTATTTGAAATATTTTACAGGCAGGCACTTCAAACTTTGTACTTTGAGTTAACATTAATAGAGACTGAAAAACATTATTGCACTGGGTACTATATACCCATGGATAGTGTTCTAGGGTTAATATCTTTGGTGTCAATTCTTAATAAAGAAAATATATAAATCCCCTTTCCTGTGTTTGGATTATATTAAAATTCTGATCATCACTTTTTAAAACAACATTGCCGAGGGAGCCAAAATTCTATACGGTAATAGCAGTGTCAATGAAATAACCATTCTTTTGACATAGCATTTTTTTTTTTTTTTTTACAGTAATAGTAAATAGTTATTTCTAAGTTTTAAGGAAATAAGAGGGAAAAAAATGGAGGAGACTTAACCTATATCCTCTCATCTGTCAGACATTGTTGCATGCTTGTGATATTTAAAACTTCAAGACAAACATTATTTGCAAATAATTATTATTTTGGGAGGAGGGTGTCATTGTTTGCCCATAGCTGAGCCGCCTAACGGGCGCTACCATCCCCAGAGGGGGAGGAGCTAAAAAGGAAATTTAATAATTATTAATTAATGTTACAAAAGCTGATATACTTATTTAAAAAGAAGAAATTAAAGCAAAAAAAATTTTTTTCAATTTTTTTTATATATATATATATATATATATATATATATTATACAATTATATTATTTTGTCTCTAGGGATCTTACAATGACCACATCATTGGAGAACAGACAAAATTTATTTATTGATTCTAGTTTTGGTTGATTATCTAATTATATACACATCTATATCTCAACTATGAAAAGGTCACTGTGCTTCTCATTGGCATTATATCCTAGTTGTGAAAGCTTTCAGATTGGTTGGTGGAAATATGGCTTTGCGGCATGGCAATTCTGATTGTCTATCTATTTTTAGAGATGGTGAAATTTTGGTCTTTTGTTATTTTTTTTTTAATTTATTTCTCTATCACTACAAGTCTTTTTATCTTTGATCTTTTGTTTGTTTCTTTTTGCTTACAGTACAAAGTTCACCGTATCCCACGCAGCCGATCAGTCGGTCAGTCATACATCACTTCTATACTGACCACACTTTATGCCAGCCTCTACTGCTTCCCATTGGTCTGCAAAATTCGACCAAATGTGGTAAGTAAACTGTCTTTGATAATCAACCTCATTGGCATGGAAATATGGCATCCATCAGTTTGGGGGTTTTTGACCATTTATGTTGACAGATTTCACTGGATGTCTCCACACATTGTGCATTTTCATTTATTTTATCTTGGATACTAAAGTTTGATGCATCAGTAATTAACTGTAACTCCAGGATTGTCCCATCACCAATTATCATGATAAAACCCATCAGAATATTAGAGATCAAAGTGATTGAGCAAAGCATTTTCAGAATTACCTACACAAATGCCAGCCATCTGTATTGTATCTTTGGCACTAATACAACAGCTTTTGTATAGTGTACACCATCAGAGTTACAAAATCACTGAACGTTTTTTTTTTTTTTTTTTTTGTCTTTCTGGTGGTGCGGGAAATAAAAACTGATAAATGTTCGATATTTAACAGAGAATAAGATAGACAACGATTTAAGTTTGTATTTTATCACCTTACCATTTAAATTACAAGTCATTATTGACTTACAACCACAATTGGTTATGACCACAAGTCATTAATTGATTTGGTCGTAAGTTTGGTTTGTTTTGTTTTACGGCATATCAACACCTCAATGGGTTATTTAATGCCGACAATTTTTTTTTCCTGGTAATATTATGTTTTATCAAAAATCTATTTCTGGTAATTTTTTTCTGGTAATAATTTTTTACAAAGTATTTCTGGTATTAAAACCTATTTTTACACTTTCATAATGCTTTTTACCTCAGTTTCGGGGTTAACTATTTGCCCATAGCTGGGACCCTAACAGGTGCTACCACCCCAGGTCAGGGTGGACCTGGGAACACCAGCAATTAAGAGGTGGTTCCACACTCCTCAAAACCTCCTAATCAGAGGCCTTGCTGTTGGACATAGTTTATTGTCTTACTAAGGATGTGGATGTAGTTTATCGTCATAACCAGGATGGTCGTAAGTCTGCCTGTGATTAATTTTGCAATCTTTTTTTTTATATTTCTTTAGGCATTATTGTATTATAATTTTTACAGTTTTTTCAGATCTGATGCCATTAGTATCATCTCTCTACACACCGTTTTGTTTCTTAGTTTTACATTCGTCAGGTTCAAGTCAAACATTGCATACTACAGTGCAGTGGCTTTAATATCACTGTAAATATGGATGCGGTTATGAATTTGTATCTATATATATATATATATATATATATATATATATATATATATATTAGTGCTTATGAGAGATACCAGTTATACAGCCCAGTACGAGTGGCGGCTGGATTATCAGCAACTAGACCAATTCCCCCACCAGGCATTTCTGATGAGTGGCTAGACACCCAGGATGATTAAAAACAAGGATAGAGCGATCCAGTACAGATTGGGGAGGGGTTACAACTCATATCTATGACTATTACACCATCACAGCTAATTGACAGGAGGCACGTTTGAACAAGATTTTATATACAGGTCATCATCGACTTAAATTTTGTAGAAATATTCTACAAAATTTAAAGAAAAACAAAAAAAATTGAAAACAATTCTATTTATTACTGAATTTTTTTTTTTTTTGCTTTAGAAAAACAAAAGTTATTTTTTTATCTTTGAATTTATGATTCTATTGCTTAGCCCGGGGTAGAGGTTGTCCAAACCGAGTGAGAGGGGAATGCATTATTTCAATGTCAAACTCGGTCACTTCCAGGCAGTGTATGACGGAAAGAAAATCAGTGTTTTTATATTATAGATTGTTTATTTTAGTCGGCCAAGTTGAACTCTCAATACAAGTTTTTGCTTTGAATATCTATTAGGGCTCAAGCTCACTACAAGCGGAACTCATATATACGATCCATCACTAAAGATGGTAGAAAAATGGTTGGTTCCTTACACCACTCGAAAAAGTAGCCGACCCTACCAGCAATGCTTTGGTCTTTACAAAGGTTAGATCAGACCAGAAATGGAGTATCTGTGATGGAGCTGCCCGATAATCACAATTTGGATAGACTATTAGAAGATTATACAAATGAGTAGTTTGGTTTGTTTTATGGCATATCAACCTCAATGGCTTATTTAATGCCAACAAGACTTTTACAATAGATTTGTATAAATAGAATATGTATTCTTTGTAAGATATCCATTTGTAAATCAGGTTTCATTGATGTATTTTTGTAAAGAGGGTTTTTGTTGACAGTCTGGGTTTCATTGATGCATTCTTTTCAGATATGCAGTTTGTAGAAAAATTGATTTTATTGACATTCCAATTTGATTTATATTTTTTTGGTATAGGCCCACTGTTTTAAGAAATGATATTATGTCATCTACTTTTTTCTCAAACATTTCATACATGCATGTTGTTTATATCATAGCATTTTCATCTTGATGTTGTTTGTTAAATTCTCTCAGAGCTGCTCTTAGCCTGATGGCTTTTTTTGCATTTGTCATTGAACCAAGGGCTGTTGTGTTTTTTGTGTTTGTTGTGTGTGTCGGGGGGGCTGAATATTTTGCTGAAGAGATGAGGATTTTCCATTAAATGATTAAAGTTCTTGATGCTTTTTATTTCGACTACTTTTTCAGAACATTGGCTTATATATTCTTGTATCTGCCAGTACCTTTCATGAGAAATCCATATAAATTGGTGGATCACATAGGAACAAGTCTATTGCTGAGTAGTTGCCAGAAAATGGATTTAAGTCTGGGCTTTTATCATTACAAATACATAAATCATTGTTTCTAATGCACTTCCCTTTTGGTTTGTGTCTTTTTGTGTCCCGAAATGGTGCTGTGACAGTTAAAGTCTCCACGTATCATAAAAGTGGCAGAGAGTTGCCTTATGATTTCATGAATTTTATTCATTTACTGGTCCATTAGATAGGATATATACTGAACAGATGTTTATTGGACTTTGTAAGATCACTTTAACAGCAGTCGCCTGTAAAATAGCTGTTAAATTTACAGCACATCATTTCTAAACTAGGATGGATGTACTGCCTGATGCTTGAAGCCCAGTATCATGTATGTAGTTGTATTACTGGTATTCTTTCCTATTCAGTTTGTCATTTTGCTTAAGGAATGTTTCCTGAAGGCAAACAACTGCCAGTGATAGGTCTGTTATCAGCAAAAGCAGTTCATTTATGATTGCCTTTATTTCGTGGCAGTGCCATTGAATTATTTGATACTTCACTGCTAAATCTTTTGGGGCTTTAGCTTATTATGTGATGTGGGATGATGTGATTTAATTTTCTGAGGTTTTGACTTTGAAGGTTTTTTTTCCGTTTGTGGGTTCTGGCTGAAATCCACTTGGGCATCCAGTTTAAAGTGAAGCCCAAGAGACAATGTGGAGGAGTGTGTTGACATCTGCAAATTGACCAAGGCTGAAATTTCTGTATTGAGACCACCAAGCTAGTCACAGATAATAATTTTATGGCTATAAGTGAGAGAAGAGAGTAAGGAAATGATTCCATGTCACTTGTTGATAGATGTGGAGAGTGTGCATATCACTAAAGACATAAGCAATGAGACGTGGGCATCAAGTGTATCCATCTTGCAACTGCTTGATAACCACAACTGCTTGGTGCCTCAGTATAAAACTCCCTCATCCTAGTTGTTAACAAGGCTCGGTATTGAGGATATAAACATCAGTGCTGCACATCCGTCGTCTTAGATGGTCTGGTCGCAGTCTTCGTCCTGCGTTAGGACTGTCTTAGAGTGCGGGGTTCCTGGTCACAGAGGTTGAGGTAGAACTAGGAAGATGTGGAAGGACTGCAGTCTCCACTTGACAGGAATGCTTGGAAAGAAAGAGCGAGATCTAGCCAACTGCAGCTCAACCCCCCAATCACTGGGGGGAAAACCCAAGGCAGTTTAATCAAAGCTCTGGATCTTGAGTTGACTTAACCAAATTTATTTCTATAATTGCCATACTAATCACGAGCTATAATAGATATAAAAAAGATAGAAAAAATTCATTTAGAACTTCGCCTTCTGAAAACAGATGACTGAATAGTGAATAGTTCAGTCAGTTATGTACCATGGATGAACCCGGTCTGTCCAGCTATTTACCCATAGCTGGGGGGGAAAGAAGAGGATTCCTACCTTTCACAAGGGTATTAGCATGTAAGTGAATGTAATGGATTCAGCTGGAATGGAACTCGACTCTCCGATTCGCCAATACGAGCCGCTATACATTTACTCCACCGTACTAAATTGAGAAAAGGAAAGGAAAAAAAAACCAAAAGAAACCGTAACTGGAGAAAAGATTTATAGATGATACAGGGGAGAACACTGTGTAATTATTCCGAGATAAGTTTTCTCCCTTTGTTATGAAAATGTTCAGTCCTTTAATTCAAATAAAAAATAATAATATTGTGCATGAGAATAGTCTTAAACATTCACATCACAAACACATTTCTTTTTATATAAGACAGTCTGTTTCATGCTTGAACGCAATATTCAAGCAATAAAACATTTCAGTGTTAGCTTTTATATTTATATACACAATCCCTGATATAGAGCACTTACTGCATACCTTAAAATTATTTTCACCATTTTATATATATATATATATATATATATATAATATTATGGTGAAAATAGCCTTACGGTATGTAATGTTTATGGATAAAAGTGCTATATATATATATATATATATATATATATATATATATGAAAAATATATATATATGTTTATGGATAAGATATATATATATATATATATATAATAGATAAAATGATTAATACAAATAAAATTTGTCACTCAGCTGACTGATGTTATAGCCAGCAACTTAACTTTGGAGTTTCATAGACAATAAGTTTTGCAAATGTACAGTCCACTCATCAGGAGGTTTCAGCAATCAACTGAAAATTTTTCTCATTTTTTGTTAATTTTATGCTAAGTTGGATGTAAAAAGACAAAGCTCTGAAAAGTCAAATTTTTTGGCTGTTGTACGCTTCGGCTTTCTTCAGGTGGTTGGAATGTCGAACTGAACACTTTATTTCGCTCACTGGGCTAGACTGTTCTAGTTCCACGTGCCATGTCTAATGGAGGTCAGTTATCAGTTATTTCCTGTTAATTTCCCTCTTCAAGTTCTCCACTGCCTTAACCAGGGATTGAATTCACAAAACTTTGGGTCCTGTTACTGGATCCTCAAGGACACATGGCACAGTGGATAAAGGCGTTGGTTAGATTCAGTGACAGGACCCAAAGAGTGTGTGTTCAATACCTGGTTAAGGCAGTGGAGAACTTGGAGAGGGGAATTAACAGGAGATAACAGATAACTGACATCCATTAGACATGGCACGTGGAACTAGAACAGTGTACACCAGTGAGCGAAATAAAGGGTTCAGTTCGACATTCCAACCACCTGAAGAAGGCCGGAGCGTACAACGGCCAAAACGTAATAAATATGGCGACAAAGATGATGGCACTAGCCATTTAAACTGGTTGAAGCTAACTCTTCTTATAACAATGTCATGATAAATGTTCCTTTAATAGAATCAGCTGTCAAATTGAGAGAGAGAGAGTGAGGAAAAAAAAAGGAAAAAATCTAAATCACTTTACGAAGTGGTCATAATTTAAAAAGGTGATAAGTTCTTTGGACAAGAGCTTCGATTGGATGATTTTTATGAGCCATAATCCCAGTCACAGGTCATCTTTCACTGGTAATCTGTGTCCATCTTGTTTGTTGGGTATCTCTGCCCTTAAGCCTCACAGATTTGTCTCTTGGCAATGGCTGGGATGTTGATGTCTTATGTCATCTACAGGCATGGTACATAGTTATATTAGTTCATCATGAGTCCCAGCTATCTATTTAGATGGTTTTGTTTCGTGGAATATCAACACCTATATGGGTTATTCAATGCCAAAATCTAAATATTTTGAACACATTTGTATGGATTCAACTACAGATATTTTGGACATAATTTTATACTTACAAGGCAAGCGTATGTTTTATCCATCTATAATATGTATCTGTTGTAGGTGTTGTGTTTTGGTATAAGCCTACTTCTTTAAGGTGGGACATTATGTTGATAGTTTCAGTATTTTCAAATAGTTTTCTCATGTTGGTCTCCTTGTAGTATTTATGTCTTACAGGTGCTAAGTATGTACAGGGTGGTTCGAAAGTCTTGTCACCCCCTACCAAGAAATAATGAGAACAATAGAAGAACAAGTAATACAATAATACAAAGCACATGTTCTGGATTCACTTTCATTGACACTGTCACGCATCGAGAAGTTTCATTTTGTGTCATCCATCTGAAATAGAAAATTATATTATGTAGGGGTAACACAACTTTCAGATCACCCTGTACATTTCATTAAAATGTTTTTCACTGTGAGTGCAGCTTTTACATCTGTCTATATTTCTGAGATAAGGTGTTATGTACACTATTTACATTATTCAGACTATTGTCCTCATCTTTTTTCACAACATTTCGGCCTTCTTCAGGTGGTTGGAATGTCGAACTGAACCCTTTATTTCACTCGCAGGGGTAGTTCCACTTACACGTGGAACTAGAACAGTCTACCCCAGAGAGCAAAATAAAAGGGTTCAGGTACTATGGCCAAAACATGATAAATATGGCAACAAAGATGAGGACAATGGTCCAAATAATGTAAATAGTTTCTACATGTTGGTTTATTTTCACTCTTCAGCAATTATCAATTGATGGGTGATTGGTTGGTTGTTTTTGTTTAGTGACATATCAACAACTCTATGGGTCATTTAATGACAAAATTTAATATTAAAATTAAAACTTTATAATTCAAGAGAAAAATATTAATTTTTTTTTTTTTTTTTTTTTTTTTTTTTTGATGGCATATCATCTGTTCTCTCTAAAAGCTCAAATTTCTTTTTGTGGGTAACAGAGGAGTCTTTTTTTATTGGTTGGTCTTGATTTGGTGGGGTGGGGTGTTATGGAGATATTTATTTAAAGGATTGTTAGCGGGATTAGTGAGCTTTGAGATTTTTGGTTAATTTGATTGGTTTTATTTTGTTTTACGGCATATGTTAATGTTGTTTAATTGGGTTTACTTTAGGTGGAGATTTTGTGTTTTGTGTAACTAATATTTGAGCCATAGTATGTGCGTATGAAATGGGTGCTTTGAATTTATTTAGTATTTCCAGTATTATTTAGTGTTTATCAGCTGCTTTCAGCTGTGCATGTTCTTTTCAGCAGTTCTTAGATTTTTGGCCAGTCATTTGGTCCTCACTGCTCCAACTGTTGTAATGAGTTCTCTATATTTACCTGTTTTGTTATTGTTACTAATTGAATTCATCTGAAATGGGTATTTTTCTAACTTCTATATTTTTGATCTCCATGATTTATTCACTCCCTCTCTCTTTCACACACACACACTATATATGAAAAATTTCTCAGATTTAATCTGTAGAAAAAAACAATACGTATAAAGGTAAAAGAGAATAGGAAAACTGTATTATTAATTGACGTGTTTCATTCCATGTGGACTAAATGTCCTTAGCAACTAGAAGAATTTAGAAAACACTATTGTATTCATATTGTCAACTGAAAATTACGTCAAGTACTTTCATGTGTAGAAATGTTTTTATTGTTATGTTGATACATTCAACCATTTTCTTTTGATTTCTTGATATAGTTGTGTACATTGGCTTGGGAGAGTAGTGATTCTGTTAGGAAAGGTGATATTGGGAAGAAAGCTGGGTGTAGATTAATATTTGGATAATATTCAATGGAGGATTTTCTTTATTTTTTATGAGTGTGGCATTTTTAAAATCAAAATTGTGGTTGAATTTATTTCTCTGTATGACTAGACCATTAGTTAAGTTGTTTTTGTGACGTCTATTTTGTGCTCATAAGTGCGTCTTTAAATTTTTGCTTGTTTCTCCAATATATTGGGAGGAGCAGTTTTGGTAATTTATTTTATAAATACCTGCTTCAGAAATATTATTGTTATTAATGTTTGAGGATCTGAGTATATCCATAATGGTTTTGGAAGTGTTTGTGACTATTTCAAGATTATTTAGATGGGATAGGTTATTCTGGATAGTGGACATGACGTCAGTAGTATTATATAATCTGTTTCATGTAATTTATTATTGTGGATTATGTTATTATTTTTGTTTCAATTACATATTTTGTATGCTTTTCTTTTTTCTTCTCTTCAGCTCTCCTTCTGGTGTCCATACTTCTAACACTTGAAACATCTCGAGGGATTTTGGGGATGTAGTGTTCAACCCTCTCGATCGTAAATTCAATTTCTATTAGAGATTCAATTATGATTCATCTAAGGAATTCAGTTCCAGTTTCTGAATCAGAATCAGGGAGATTTCATTTGTTTTTTTTTTTTTTTTCTCTCTCTCTCTCTCCATTAGTCCTGTGTTCCACCACAGAAGTCGGTTACTATTGGGAATTTACAAGTGGGTTAAACCCGTTCACTTTGGTTGAAACAGAGATACATCTACCAGTATATTCTCATCATGGACAGACTTTGAGTCCCTGTTAGTTTTGAGCTTCAGTAACCCAAAAATCTGACACCTTAATTTGAAACAGCAGTCAAAGTTTCTTTCTCTTCAATTCAATTGATCCTCAATTACTGCCTTCTACCATTTTAAAAATAATAAATGATCAAATGTTTGATTGTTATGCAATCTGTTTGAGACAATGTCAAGCTTAATTACATTGGTCCTAGTACTTGACATAACCAGCCAATTGATCAGATCAAACCCTCTCTGGCCATTCCACCTAGCTCAAGTAATGACCAACCAGGGATCATGGTTCTGCTCAGCCTCCAGGTTTCCAACCTCGGACATTATGAAATGCCAACCACAGCAAACAGGTGACTTCATTGCTGGGGTCAGCCCCCTGAAGAAGTGCAGTCTGTGTATTTTACAGTCCCTATTCTATGGTACCCAGACTTGGTTTTTATTTAAGTGCAGTATAAAACTGGCATCGAGATCTCATTAATTTACAGTTGGGCTGGTTAGATGCAATCGTAAGTTCTACGCTAACAGTTTCTTTTCTGGCATTTCTCACTTGTGTGGAACTCTCTTCCGTCTTCATGCTTTCCAGCCAACTTTAAGTCTCTGTTCCAAATTATTCCACACTCTGTAACTCCTTGTGTCTTAGTGGCTTTACTCTCTTGCATTTCTTGATACAAAAAAAAAGTCTCAATCAACAGGGCAGATTTTATTTATTAGGTTTTCTGAAATGTCCATTCTTGTAGATGCAATATACATTTTGTTTTTTTGTTAAACAAATGGTATCTAATTAAACACGGATCCATTAAAAGTATTTGAATTAATAAAAATATTGGATTAAAAATAAATTCATTATCTCTTTAAAAATTACTCCTGAATATATTTTCGTTATATTTGGCGACAAGTTTGGAATCCATTTTTTAAATTTTTATACCTGTATTACAAATGCTGATTTTATTTTCTGCCTTTTTTAATACACGTCTGTTTTTTTCTTTAGATTTTATGCAATGGTCCTGGCACGTGTATCCCATTGTGTTTTGCTGGACTTTTTTTGAAGGTAAGTTACATTTCCTTCTTTACTGCACTTTCAGCAGTTCTTTTTACAGACTCTGACGCACTCTTGTGATATTTCAATCATTTTGGTGGCAGCAGGTGGGTAACACTGTCGTCACTTTCTGTGATACAAATAAACAAATTATACCTACCAGAAATTAGAGATTTGTAGAGGTCAAGTTTTTATAAAGACACTATTCTGAATTTCCAAAGTTGAATTTAATGGAATTGGCTATTAAAAAAAATAAATATATGAATAAACTAGCAGTAGAGCACGGCGTTGCCCGGGGATGTAACAGTAAGCGATAGATCAAGTATGGACGATCATAAAGACTGAAAAATAAAATTGACAAAGATTATTGTTTAAGGTTGACGCATGTCTTAATTAGTTTTTTTTTTTACGAATTGGTCAAACCCAAATTCAAACGAAAACATTGTTTACAATCGCTATGATTTATGGAAATAATACAGTAATTCCATCTACGTTTTTTTGCGGCGCTGACGTTTTTCCTTCCAAGTGTGGTGGAAGGAAAACTTGTCCACTGATTACACCCCTTCCTTTCTCGTTAAGCTAAAATAGTAGTAAACCTTTTCTTTAGTTATTTAAAACTAATTACAAGTTATTGTCGTTTTATCAGCTCCTGCTGATGTCACCAATATAACAAATTTAAATTACTGTTTTTCCCGTTTTTCTCTGACATCACGGACAAACTAATCGTTTGAGTTCAGTCGGGACTAAAATTTTGATCCGTGAAGTTGACTCATTTATTCCTCGTCAGTCAACCTTAAATACAGACAGGGATATCTTACTGACAACAAATAATTCTTCATCCCTTTTGGCTCGTCGCAAATAATTTTCTTCAAGACGATGCAACCAACAACAAATAAGTCTTCATCCCTTTTGGCTCGTCATAAATAATTTTTAGCAGCAAATTCAATGCCTGATCCCAAAATCTGAGATGACTGAACTTTCTCACGACCATGAACCTGAACAAAAAAGGGTATAAAAAACAAAAACAACACAAAAACACTACACACACTTACAATACCCAAATCCACAGTAAGTACTTTTTTTTTACCTGTGCACATTTACACCTATCCTATTTTCGTGAACATTTTTCCTTTTCAGAATTTGTTTTCCATTTAAAAAAAAAAAAAAACTTTTCCGCCTTGTTCACCTTGCTATCCTACCAAAAAAAAAGTGAAGTTTTGTTGAAATCGGTTGAAAAATGTAGATAGCCTTTCTCTGTAATCTTTTACAATTTATGATATTTACTTATTGAATACAGTAAAAAAAATTGCATATTTTGCTTGTGGTGATTCATAATTAGAATTCTGATTTGAATATATTTTCCACTCGTTGTTTCTAATACAAAATATTAACTTTATTTGGGTTTATTAATTTATTACAAGTACTGTGTTCTTTCCTTAATAATTATCATCTTGAAATATTGTTGTTTTTGTCTATCAGATTTCTTACGTTGGCAATTTTAAATTATTTCTTAATACTTTCTTTTAAATATTGAATTAATTTCAAATAGAACCAATGCCTTATTGATCTGCCTTGTAACAAATTGCAAAGGAATTGAAAAAACGGCACTAAAGTACATTGGAATTATCTTTCCCTATTTTATCAAATCGAAAATGATTGATTATCTGTCTTTTTTTTTTTTTTTTTTGACCTAAAAAAACAATATTTTTAACGAAAATTTCAGACGTGCTAAGAACGATTAAAAAATGTAAAAAAAAAATACCCCAGAAATACTTTGATCTTTCCTCTTTAATAATAATATGAACATTAGACGATAAAATTTTGTTTTCGTCAAGTTCGGCTTTTTTTTTTTCACCATGCTATGCTCTTTTGTTTACATTTTCGTGGGTGAGTTGTCCCCCTTTCATTCTCACAATGTGTCTTAATCGTGTTTTCAAATTGATTTTGTTTAAAAAAAACAATGTGTTTTTCCCATTTTCGGCGCCGTAAGAACCACCACAAGGTAATTTTATGTAGTCCTGTGAAGTTTTGTTGAAATCGGCTAAAAAATGTAGGAAATTCGATCCAATATATAAACGTTACACACACACACACAATCTGCGTTTTATAATAAGTAAGATAAATAAAATAATAATAAAAAAATAAATAGATGATTTAGTTTGTTTTGGGGGTGGTTGTTTTTTTGTTTTTTTTTAAGAGGCATATCAACACCTCCATTGATTATTTAATGCCAAAGTCTAAATATGAAAATTCAAAGTTTATGATTAATCCAAGAGAATGGCATTATTTCATAATTATATTATAATTACTTAGCTGCATTTTTTTTTTTTTTTTTTTTTTTTTAAACCAAATAATCTTAGAAAATCAGACAAGCAATGAAAACTTGTTTCTCCTTACAAGAAATGAGATTAATCATAGCAAATTGTTTTGTTGACAATGTATGCCATGTCGTCTTCAGTTTTACTATAAAATGTTTTTGTTTGTTTTACAACATATCAACCCATTGGGTCATTTAATGCCAAAATTTAATGTTTTTCTAAATAAAGCTTTGTATTTAAACAGACTATTTGTTTAAAAGAGTAAGACTGCTGTTAGTTATTATTATTATTAATAATATTATTCTATGGTTTTTGCATAACATACTTCATATCAGGATTCTCTATATGTAAGGCTTCAGCTACTTGCCATGATGCCTGTATTAGTCTGAAGACTGACTCCAAACAGCTACCACTCTTACCTCCAACCTGGAGCTCTTTATAGTAATAGACTAGTTCATATAGTCACTGGGGGTGTACTATTTACTTCAAAAATCCCCTCCTTTTGAGATTAATATTTTATAAATATTTTATTTTTTTTATTAGTATTAGTATCTCCCCCTCCTTACCAACATATTTGACTTTGTAGCATTTCCATCTTGGATCCAGTTCTAGAACCACCAGATGAAATAAAAATTGAATATACAGTTTTCTAAGTAGAAACATGTATTCCAAACCTGTTGTGATGTTTCAATTACCAAAGATATGGACATGGTAAGAATCAACATACAAGGAAGCTGGTATGTCAGGAGAATGAGGCTAAACATACAGAGATCACATGCCCAAATGATACAAAATGTCTTAATTGTAAACAAAACCATAGATCAACTTTCAGGGACTGCAAAACCTGGAAAAAAGAAAGACATTTTAAAAATTAAACATACCAAAAAAAAAAAATACCTTTCTTATAAGCAAGGAAATGCATCAAAACAAACTTCAATACATCATATACAAAAATTACCCAAGCAATATTAAAAGCTACTCATGAAAATCTAATATCAAACAAATTACAATAAATAGCAAGAACTAACATTCAATTAAGAATGTTAGTTCTTGTTATTCATGTATTAAAAATTAAAGAAACATATTGAAAACTTTTAAACCAATTGTAAATTTGGAAACAACCCCAACCACTGAACCAAAACTAATTCCAATGTAAATCCAACATAAAATTCACTAACAACAACAACCTCTCAACTACAAAACACTCAAATGGAAAATTACCCAAACAGAAAACTGACAGAATGAAAATCAATCAAACCTCGATACAAAACAAAATTGAAATCCAAAAAAAAAACAAAAGAAAAAGAATTAAGAGCAAATAAACAGAACAACAATCCACATAAAGATAATCAGAAAAAAAAATGAAAACCTAAATGATCAAGAAAATACAAATGCTTGTTGAAAAACAAAAACAAACAGTATGGAATATATGGTAATTGATAACCAAAAATACAGTCATCCTTAAGATCCACTCACAAAAATAAAAATAATTACCACTCAAATGGACAAACAGAATACAAACATAATACAATGGAAGTGTAGAGGTGTTAAACTATGAGGAAATGAAACTGCTCCTTACAGATTACAATCCAAATATAGGCTTATGCTTATAGGAAACGTTTCTCAAAGAAACTGATGACTTCACCTTTAAAGGACATGAAACTTACGACAAAATAAATAGAAAATAGACCCAGTGAGGTTATTTCAATATTGGTTAAAAAATCAATACCCCATGAAGAACTACAATTACATACAAATCTTTGATTCATTGAACAATAACTATGTTCCCTTTATATTCTTCCAAAACACAGACTAAATAAAATTGAAATAGAAAGACTAACTTTGCACTCCATTTCTACTAATGGGAGATTTTAATGCACACAGCAAATGTTGGGGTGTAGGAACACCATTCAGACTAGTAAAACAAACTATGGACTCATTACACAAACAAGTTGCATTTGCTAGACAATGAAGAAAATGGTAAATTCTCAACTAATATGGTACTGGGAGAGAAACAATTTCTTATCTAGTTACCAAAGTGGATTCCAGAAAAATCAAGGAATGGACAATGATCAATTTGTATGGCTAGAATCCTTTATTTATGATGGCTTTGTTTGTGGTCGTCATATGGTATCAATATTCCTTGATCAGGAAAAAGCCTATGACACCACATGGAAGTATGGTATCCTAAAAGACATACACAAGATGGCAATGAAACAAAGAATGGCTATATTCATCCAAAACTTTCTCTCAAACTGAACATTTAAAGTAAAAAATGGAAACACAACATCAGACGCACACAAGCAGGAGATAAGAGTACCTCAAGGTAGCATTTTATTAGTTACACTATTTATTATCAAAAACTAATACAAGAATTGAAAAATGCCTATATGTAGATGATTTCTCAATGTCATACTTATCACAAAATGTGCCTTCTCTTGAAAGATATCTACAAACATGTTTAAACAAGATAGAAAGATGGACAAATGAAAATGGATTCTGTTTCTCCATAACAAAAACTGTATGCATTTCTATGAAAATGGAGCTTACCACCTCCATCCAGAATTAAAATTGAATGAACACAGAATTCCCATAGTCCAACAAATAAACTATCTAGGAATCATGTGAGATAGCAAATTTAACTTCAAAGTGCACATTGATTACCTTTCAGCAAAAATGCCGAAACATTTTGAAGCTTCTAAAATTAATATCAAAACTGAACTGGGGTACTGACCAAGATGTAATGCTCAGAATATATAGGTTACATATCAGATCAAAACGACTATGGATACAGTATTTACAGTACCACACGTAGATCCTATATTAAAAAAAGCTACAAACCATACAAAATCAAGGCTTGAGATTTAGTCTTTGGGCCACCCGGACTCTTCACCCATGCAAGTCTCTGTATAGAAGCCAATGAACCAACTACGTCTCTGAGATGGGAAAAATGATCCCTTCAATATGCACTAAGACTACAATCAAACCCAAATAACCCAGCATACCAAAAAACATATGAACCTCAATATATCCAGTTCTTTAGAAATAAACCAACAGCCATCCTTTCGTCAAACAGCCATCCTTTCCATCAAAGAAGCACTTGAACAAATAAACAAAGATCTTGATAATTTAACACCAGTCACAATAAATAATATAGCCCTATGGACAATCTCCAAACCTCATATTGACCTTACATTGATACATTTAAAAAAAAAAAAGAAGGGAGATGCAATCAACAAAAGCCTATACGGAGAATTAAGAGATAAATATTGTGAGTATGAACCATTCTACACAGATGGATCAAAAATCTTAGAATAGTTGTAGCAGCCACAAGCAGGCAAATTCACAAACAAACCTGGCTACCAAATAATGCATTCATCTATACAACTGAACTACAAGCCATAAAAATGGCACTTAAAATGATAGGGAGAATAAGAACATTATAAATTTCCTATTTAGTTTAACAGCAATTAAATAAAAGAACCTAAATCATCCCGAAATTTCAGAAGACTTTTATCATTTAATAAAGCACAAAATAATATTGGCCTGGATTCCTGACCATATAAGAAATGCTGATTTGATGGCTTTTCTGCCATATCAACCCTGTGAGTCATTTAATGCCAAATCCCATTTATATGTGTATGTATAATTTGTAGATGAATAGTTTATACGTACATTGTTTTTTCCTCTTCAGTTTGGCGAACGGTACATATTTCTCTACAAAGCAACCTCAAGTTTCTCCATCCTTTGATTTAGCCAAACATCCTTCAGAAATCAAAAAAATATTATTTGGATCAATCAGTTCAAATAGATCTTCCAGGTTGATGACCTGGTAATATTTTAATTGAATTTCATAAAAGTCGATACACTTCACCAGTATGTGTTCAACTTTAAGTAGTTCATCGCATTCTACACATAATAGAGGATCCTCTCCTTTAAGCAAATGTAAATGCGTTATATATGTATGTGTGTGTGTGGCCTATGCGTAGTCGAGCAAGAGTTACTTCCTCCTTTCTTACTTTTCTGTAATTCTGTTAGGTCTTGATCATTGGTTGAATCTTTTTTAATTTCTTGTTTACACAGCCATCCCAGAGAATCTGTCTATATTCCACCTGAAGAAGGCCGGCGCGTACAATGGTCGAAACGTTGTAATAAATATGGCAACAAAGATGAGGACAATAGTCTGAATAATGTAAATCCCAGAAAACTTACCATTTATTTATTATAAATTTATTAATTTAAAATTAATTTATTAATTACTGGTTTCGAATCAGTGTATGGAATTTTTGATTTCTTTTGTTTTATGGCATATCAACCTCAATTGGTCATTTAATGCTGACAGATTTTTTTTTTTTTTCTGGTAATATTTTTGTTTTGTCAAAAATCCATTTCTGTTAATATTATTTTTCCAAAAACGTATTGCTGGTAATATTTTTTTTCTTTATTTCTGGTAATAATTTTTTACAAAGTATTTCTGGTATTAAAACCTATTTTTTTTTTTACACTTTTATAATGCCTTTTATCTCAGTCCTTCTTTTGCAGTTCAACCTGAACCATTTACTTAGAATGTAGACATTTTAGCTAAATTTGAAATTTGGGCCAATCATTTGGTCCCAAGTGTACAAGCTTCTCAATGAGGGCTCTGTATTTGTTAGGCTGACAGGCATTATTTGTAATCTTATTTTCCATTATTTTTTTGTGTGTGAAGGGCCTTCCATGTAACCTTTTAATATTTGCCTTGCTTCTGAAAATGAGATAATTACTTTTATATTTTATAATTTGGCTTTCTTGGCAATTAACACATCTTATTTCATCATGGCATTCATCTTCAGAATGCTATAATATCCAAATTTTTGGCACCTAAAGCATCTTAGGGGAGCAGGGATATATTGTTCCATTGGCTCAATATTATAACTTTTTGTTGGGGGGGGGGTCATGTATAGGAAAAGTAATGATATATGTGTCAGTTGTAATCGTTTCCACCCTTTCTTTTAATTGAGATTCTATGGTAATTGCTAAGCCCTTGGCATCCTAAGGCAGATGTAATTTCTTCAAGTTTGGCCAGAGACAACTCTTTACTTCTAATGACTCCCTTAGAAGTATTCAGTCTTGCATGAGGGAAGGTTTTAATTTTGATATTATGAAAGGTCTTCATCTTTATTATATTTTCTATGTGTTTCCTAAGTTCCACCTCGACCAGCAAATTGCCATCTCTCAACTTTCTAACTGTTTTAGGATTAATTCTACTGGATTTTCCAATCAAGAAAGGGGAAAATTTTGTCGGCGGAGTTTCTCCTAGGGATATGAGAATAAAAAAAATCTTGTAAATTCCATATTAATTTCTTTTTCAGAATCAAAGTCTGAAAGACATTTCTTGGGCTTTTTTTTTTTTTTTTTTTTTTTTTTTTGGGATTATTCATAATTTTTGTGTATTAATATTTCCTGCCTGTGCTCCCTACCCATCTCGATCTCAGGAATGTGTCAAAGGGGGAACCCAGCCATCTTGACAGGTCAAGACTACACAAAGCAGTATACTCATATTTGAAAGAGACTCTGAGCACCCATTAAACCATTTGTTGCACTTCCCAAATGATAAATGTACAAACTAGTATGTTTACAGCCATATCTAAGTCTAGATCTCTTTGAACTGATTGACCTTCAGCCATTGCCTTCTAGTGCCTATAAATTGGATAGACATCATATTTTATCCTGGTTATCTTGGTATGACCAGCAGATTGATCGGATTGGGCCTCTCTGACTGCCTCTGACATTATGGGTTACCACCCCTGGCAAACAGGTGGCCTCATTTTTACCCCTCTGCAGAGGTGCTGTCAGCATATTCTGAAGCACCAGCTGACAGGATGTTGAGCCCCAGCCGATTGGATGGGTATCTCTTTTGCGTGTGAACACCATTCTTTATGAACCTTTTACCTTATTACTGTTGCTTTGTCTAGTTTAGATTTGCATATACATTGTTTGCTTCGCATTATTTTGCCCTGTTGTCTTTTATATTTGTTGGACATTTTTGACAATTCCATTTAACCATCGCAAATTACTCCACTACAATAAGTTCTTTTCTAATTCTTTCTTTTGGTCTCATTTCTGAAAAACCTTTGTGTTTACAAACTCATCTAAAAATGAGTTTACTAATACTACTGCTAGTAGTAGTAGTAGGATAATAATTATAATAATAAATAAAAGCCTGTAAACCATTTTATTTTGTTTTTTAGCATCTACTTCTGTTGGATATTAACATTGTCTACGTGGAAAGCCTGTGTCGGGTGCAGACCTTGTCACTGTCAGCTCGTCTTCTCCTCCCTATTATTGATCACATCCTAGTGCAATGGCCACAACTGAAGGAAAAATATCCAGGTGTGGAGTTCATTGGCAGGCTCGTCTAATGTTCTCACAGCTTAATGACCGCAGCAATTATGACAACCACATGGACTGTATTCAGCAAAGACATCAGCTTATTTATGCTGATTACAAGCAAGTTACTGTCCTTGCAGACAGGAAAGGAAAAGTTTCTTTTATTATTCCTTAATACTGCTGTGTTTGATTAATTATTAAAATACCAAAATTTAGGACTGTACTCTCATCTTAACATGAAGCTTATAAATCAAGTCTCTCTAAAATGATTTTTCTTAACTGTTCACATTTTTTACCTAAACTAAATTTAATGAATCGGTGTTTTTATTTTTATCTCTTGGCTTAGGGGGAGTAATATTAATTATTTCCTTGCTCAAAAAAGATATAAGAAAAGTTACTGATAAGGTTCATGAACTTATCAAAATACTTGATAGAATTCTTTCAAAAAAAAAAAAAAATTCTGTGAATGCAGAGTTATCGCCCCTGTCCGTGAACCAAGCCCAGCCATATTTTATGCTGATATAGCTTAATGACAAATTACATCATGTTTATCTTGGAAATATTTCAAAAAGAAGATAATTTTGAGAAATTAATTATTTTCAATATTTAGTTTGTGATATATATCCCAAATTAACATAATTATTTTTGAAAATCAGTCACATGAATGATAATTTTAAATAATGGAAAGTAATTTTTTTTTTTTTTTTTTTTTTTTTTTTTTCAATGTTAAATACTGATTATGGTTTGGCTTAAAACAGTAGTGATGTACTGTATTTTAACAAATTACATAAATGAAATGAGTGTTTAAATCATAAAAAGATTTCTGCATATTTTTTCCTAAAACAATGGCTGGTCATGTATAACTTCTCATATTAAGAGTCAACTTAAAAGTGTAATGGTTGGTGATAACCATCTTGTGGTTTCATTTCATTTTAGATTAATGTCTTTAACAACTGTTGAAAATGAAAATTAAAGGCTGATTTACTAAACTTTGTATTTTGAAGGGTGTACAGTATTTTAAAAAAAAAAAAAAAAAGTTACTTTCAGATATGTCTGCATGTCTATAAGGAATTTGAGATTTCATTAACAAACCCAAAATTGTTTGGACAATTACATCTCTTTATATACTTGCTGATTTAAAAAAAAAAAAAAAAAAATAATAATGATAATTAAATTCTTTCTAGGGAGAGTAAAAGAAATAGTCTGTTTAATATAGCAATGACTTTCAAGAAAGAAAGAAAAAAAAAATATTTTTCTCACAGAATGTACCTGATAATGGCCGAAGACTAGATTGACTGAAACATTTTAAAAGCAAATGTATAAAGATTTTCAAATATCCAAACAATATTGGGAATGTTTAATGATTGGTCAACAGTAATGTCACTAAAGGCCAGAAAACAAAATAATTCTTACTTTCAACTTGGCTTTCTTTATATTTGTTTTCTTAAATAAAAAAAGCGAAATACTCAAGAAATCCATTCAACATCAATAATGATTTAATGTTTGCAAGTTGCTTATTTCAGTTTCAGAAAGAAAAATTTACCTACTAAACATTTAAAACTGGCACTAAGCATTGCTTTTTAATCTGCAAATTCTTCCCATAGTTTGGTTTCTAACATTTAAGCAATGCAAAACTTGGTTAGTATTGAGTAAGTGATTACTTGAGAATACCAGTTATATTTTTTGGTTGTCAAATGTAGAAAGCTTATTGAAACCTGTATTCTTTGCATCTCCGAATTATTTCGGAATACAAGATAGCCATCTTCAAATTTATTCTTTTTACATGATGAAATGTTTCCTCACGATTTTTTTTAACTTGTTAAAATATAGAACTTTATATTTTTGTACTTTTTTTTTTTTCTTTTTTTTCTTTTTCCTTTTTTTTAATTTTTTGAGAAGGGAAACCTGCTTGATCCAATTTCATTTGAAGTTTTTAAAAAAAAATTCTTATTATACATTTGACACAGTGACATTTAGAAAAGGTTGAATTTCAGCTGCTAAAAAATAAAAGAAAAAAAAGAGATTTAAATTAAAATTATTAATTTACCCTTTCTGGTAACTTGCCCTGTGTAAACTAATCCAAGTTGTTTGGGCCATGCTGAAAATAAATTGTATATTTTAAATTGCTTTATCTACATTCCATTTAAGATCACTTTAGAATCCATATACATGTCTTATTTACTAATAAGCTACTTTTTATGTATTTGGAAATCTCTTTAATGTAAATCTTGCTTTATACCAAATGAGAGATACACCATCTGATGGTAAGTGCAATCTTGCTAAATTTTTTTTTTTTGTCTACCCACAGAATATATCCACAAGTGTTTTACAAAAGCAATTGAGGCCACAGGTTATTTATTGCTAAGGTAATCTCACAAGCTTTTTTTTTTCTTTTTTTTTTCAAATGTATCTATACAGATTTTGTTTTTTTATAAAATAGTGATAACATAATACACTGAGGTTGACAGAATTATATTGTTGTTTTTAAGTCACTATATAAGGTGAAATGAACCTTGAATACTAAAAGAACTCAGAAACTACATTCCACATCTTGAAAGCTGTTTTTGAAGATGACCACCTTAAAGCTACAGGGATTAATTGCTATTTGTTACTAGTAAATGTAATAAAATAAAAGTTATTGAATAGGCAGAAGTGGTATATGAAAGGTTCAGTTTGCTTTCAGCAGCTGGTTGAAGCAACAATAACAGTAAAAATAGTTCCAAAAATACATTTAGTTTATACATATACATATATATATATATATATAAACTAAATCACCTTTCAATTTATACGTAAAAGAGTTAGAAACACTAAGAAATCATTTTCCTGTAAGTCAAAACTAATTTTCCTCATCAGAAGTTGCTATAAAACATGTTTCCAAAATTTGAAACATCCAAGTTGAATTACAATTTGAATTTAAAGAAGAAAAAAGTGTGTTTTGAATATTACAGTGCAGAAAATTATTTATTTGTAGTTTTGTCTCAAGAACTGTTCTAATCACTGTTAATTTTGCATCTCATTCCATATTCTGACATGTTTTTGATTGTTATGAAATTTTAATTTTTTTACTTGGTTTTACTTTTGAGAAAAAGTTGGGGGGGGCGCAGAATTCATTTCTAAGTGTGTTTTTCTTTCTTGTTATAATAAAAAAAAAATTCTATTATCACCCCACCCACCATTTTAAGTAAAGAAACCTGCTTTTTTTTTTTTTTTTAACAGTTTTCCTCCCCAGCCCAAAAATATCTGAAATGTATGTATGTTTAGGGAAACACATATTAGTTTATGTTTAAGTCACTCTCCTTTTTATTGATGAAAAATGCTGATTTTAATATCATTTAAGCCTACCACTCTTGCTTAAAGAGATTTATTTACAAGCAAACTGACAGGATTACAGACTAGTTGCAAAAGCATATTTTTTTGGCATGCATAAACAAGAGAGCATTATGTAAAATAAGAAAAAAAAAAAAAAAATCAGTGATAATCGTTTTTATTGGCTGAAATGTAAGCACACTAGTAACTGTCATGAACTAATGTCGGGTTGCTTCCTCCCTTTTAGGAAATGTAATATTTTTGTTGCTATCTTCCTAACATGTTTATTCAACATTCAGCTTTTATTAGAGACAGTAAAATAAAAATGCCTTGCTTTAAGGAAATCAAGGTTTTCTTTACAAGTCAATCTTTGTTCAATTCTCATCACTGACATTGAGAGTGCTGTGATAAAACAACCAGATGAAAGCTAACAAAACTGTCTGATTTCAGGAAACTTCAAATACATTTTGGAAAAAAAAGTTAAATCTCATTGCACTGAAATCAGAAGAAAAATCCTGCATTTATGATTGCAGGGTTACTGAACTAATTGGATCCATCACTTGAGCTGATTTTCAAAGCAGGCATCTTTCTGCATGATAGTTTGGAGGCAACTTCAACACCTTTTGAACAGGAGTATTGGTTTATCCCTTTGTTTCCTGTTTAAGATTGGGTTTCCACTTCCTCATTAATTATTCTCCTTTACAGTCAGTAACTTCTTGTGTCTTAGTGACTTTATTGCCTTGCTTTGAATAAAATGATTAAAAAAAAAAATAAGCTAGACTGAGCTACAAATTTTAAAATGTATGGATAATTCTGTAGTGGGTTTTTTTCCCTACATTTAGCTATTCCAGGATTGTCAGATAAATGTACACACAATTTCATTTTCCTCTCACTACTGCTATTTAAGCTTTCAAGGTATGTAAACAGAATTAAAATAAAAAAAAAAAAAGTATCCCTACCACCAATTCTTGGGGTTGGTGTGAGAAACCCAGATGAAAAAAAAAACAAACAGGCTCTCTCTCTCTCTCTCTCCACTCAGGATCAGCTAAGCTTATTGCAATGAAGGAAGAGTATCTGGAATAGGTTGTAACTTGATGTCTACAGCAAAGAGATGGGTCTCAAGTATTTCTGCACACTTGACCACTTCAAGAGAGACCTTTTCCTATTTTGCATGTGTGGGTATGTAACATTCTCTTAAAATTTTGCATCACTAAGTATTTATTGGAGTATTTCAATATCATAGGAGTTTTACTTATTACAATTCTCATTCATTTTGTCTCTTACACTGAAGTTCCCTTTGCGTTTCTTCCAGAGTTTTTTTTTAATCCCCCAAATTAAAAGAAAACCCATCATAAAAAAAAATGTCTTCATTCTGAAGGAGTCTTCTAATTCAGTTCCATATTTAGAATTTTAATTTAAATAATGCAAAAAGAGGGGGGAGTGAGAATGTACCATAGCACTGAGAAGTACAACTTTTCACAACTGCCTTTTATCCCAAATGTTCTCGGTCATCTATTACAAGATGTATCCACTTTACAATATTGATACAATGTAAAATTGACCTAACTTTTTGCGAAATTATTGGCTTTCGCTGTTCTGCATAATAAAAACAATTTTTAACAAAAAGATTTTTTTTTTTTTTTTAGAAATACATATACATTTTTTAATTAAAGAAAAGAAATTTACATAAATCAATAAAAGTATATTTTCATTTATTCCTCATTTAAAATAAATAATTATTTATCTCCCAATGCCTGTGCATATGTTTAAAAATTTTTTTTAAATTTAAAGTTTTAAAAATTCAGGAAAAAAGTATGCTGATATAAATAATGTAAACAGTTTCAAAATTGGCATTTGTCAATAACAACTAAGTCCATTAACTCTGTAAAAAGTCAAATTGATTTTATACTCTATTGATGCTATGAACAGGACCCCTCTTCTAAACAGATTTAGAGAAAAAAAAATTTGGTGGGTGGGGGGTATTCTGACAAATGTCGCAACTTGAGCATTGAATGAGTACTAAACACCATAATTATTCCCCATCTGAAAAAGTTTCCTTTTCTTTTCTTAAATTGAACCAGGTTATTTAAAAGTCAGGAAAAATATATAAGCATCACCTAAAAACAATTTTGCAGTAAAAGTCGAATGGTTAAAACTCCAATGTTTAGCCATTTCAATTATTGTTTGTTTTAATTGTATTTAACTTGAAAACTAGACTATGAATTTCTCTAGTAAGTTTAAGCTTAGTCTGACACAAGGCTATAAAGGAGCATTCAGTAAGGATGGAGCTAAATGAATCACTAAATAGAACATTCAGCATAAAGTGACAATTATACTACGCTTGCTTGGTGTCAAGTCTTGATCGTTTCTCACTTGAAATGGAATGTCAGACTTGATTTAATACAGCTATTTAAAAATAGAAAAGTCAATTGATTAAGATATTTCTTGAAACATAATAGCCAACATAAATCTACAAGGATGTCCATTAAAAAATTCAAATCTGTTGTCTGAACATAAGAAAATATTTTTTTCACAGCAGATTTTGAATGAATGGAAGGCTTTCTTTTTTGGCACGTACAACTTCTATGTAGAGTGTCCCTTCAAGATGAGGATCATGGCTCAATAATTTCCTGTCTTTTGTAGCTCTTATATTTAGCTTTTCTTTTTTTAATCTCTCCTAAACCTTGTTTTGCTATTCATTTACTGAAGCTCACATAGTAGGTTAGGCAATTTTTTTCCTCTGTCCTTCTTTCCTTCAATCTGTTCTGTAAGTATCAAATTTTCCAAGCCCTCTTTCCTCATTATCTGCTCTAGAAATTTCAACTCTCTCTTCATGGTGTTTAGTAGAAAGGTCCTTTTGGTTTCCTTACTACCTCTCAAACGCGGTTCTAATTCAAGGTTTCTATTATTCCTATTTTCTTCATGTTGCTGGAGCTCTTTGCCGTATCTTTTGTCTCCTGTTTGTTTACCCACTTTGACCTAATGACTCAATAATAAAATAAAAATAGTTTATTTGCTTAGGCTCTCCCAAATTTAAAGCTTAGTACAACATTCTTGTTTAACCCTGTTCAACGCCAATTTAAACTTAAATCTACAGTTTAAATAACCTTTTAGCAAAGGGAGAAATAGAAAGTTGTGGAGAGCCATAATTGGCTATCTCTTGAAGGAATACATCACAAAAATTAATGTTATGATAAGACTGTTTTCTCTGGCAAGGCACAAATTGGCTTATAAATTTGTCACTTATCAATATACATGTTTCTAACAAGTCTCCGTCTGACACAAGGCCATAAGTTTACAGAAGATCAAACTCACTAAGCAAGGGGGTCGGAAACCTATGGCACATGTGCCACGCCAAACAATTTCCAATGGCACACAGCCACAAATGAAATCACAGAGTCCAAAATACATGTTGTTAGCACACTGAATGATTTAAAAACCCTAAGTCAACACATAGCAAAAGGTTGCTTATGAACCCCCTGCACTAAGCAACCCCTCCCCTTGGTAAGAGGGTGGAGAGAAAAAAATAAAAAACCGAAAAGTTTAGTGTGTAGTAAATGTAATAAATCTGTTGGTATATAATCCAAGTGGCTCCTAGTAATATAAAATATTAAAACTGATCCACAAAAATAGCTCAATGTATTTATTATAACAGAGCAAATATTTCAGCAGACAAAGATATCGGTTGTGTGTCTTATCAACCCCGGTGCAGACTGAGTTTGTGTCTATACAGTTGTGGGGTAGGTACGGTAAATAGAATTTAACAGTTTGGGTGTCTGTGATAGGGTGTCATTGATCACCTTAGCAGATGGGTGTGCTTGAAAACGACTAGCCAGCCTGTGTGTGTGTGTGTGTGTGTGTGTGTGTGTGTATATATATATATATATATATATATATATATATATATATAATCCATTACTAAAGATAATGGGAAAATAGTTAGCTCATTCTACCACATCAGAAAGTACATGACTCCTCCTGAAATGCTTTATCTTTACAAGATGAAATTAGACAAAAAACAGAATATTACTGCCATGTTTGGTTTTGTTTGGTTTACAGCATATCAACCTCAATGTGTTATTTAATGCCGACAATTTTTATTGCTGGTAATATTTCTTTTTTAATGTATTGCTAGTAATATTTTTTTTCTTCAAAAATATATTCACGGTAATATTTTTTTCTTCAAAAATGTATTGCTGGAAATAATTTTTTTTACAAACTATTTCTGGTATTAAAACCTATTTTACACTTTCATAGTGTTTTGACCTCAATTTGGGGGCTTACTATTTGCCCATGGTTGGGACCCTAACAGGTGCTACCACCCCAGCAATTAAGAGGTGGTTCCACGCTCCTCAAAACCTTCTGTTGGACGTAGTTTAACGTCTTACCCAGAACATGGATGTAGTTGCCATATCTTGTTTGGAGCTGCTCAATCCTCTCTTCCCTGCCTTGATAGAATTCAATATCTTTTACACAGTATTGTCAGGGGAAGACTTTCCTTTCTGCAACCTCTTTCCCCATAGATGCAATGCTGTAAGCCTATTGCTATTTCCTTGGCAAATGTGCTGATGAGTTCCATTCTTTAGTTACATCAGTTCAGTTTTGCAACTCATACACACAATTGCCACTTCTGCAGATTCGAATCACCCATTTCCTCTGTATATTCCAAATATAATGAGAAAGCTCCATTTGCACAGCTTTATTCCATGAAATGCTACTTTATGGAGCAGACTCTTGCACGGATACTTCCTACCGTGCCTTCTCTTTCATTCATATCACACATAACATTCATCATGACCATAATCCTATACCTTGAGTGGCTCTTGAGCCTTGTATTGGGTGAACTTTAGTATTTAAAAATACATACATACACACACACACATTATATATATATATATATATATATATATATATAATCTCCAAAAAGAATTTAAAATTCAACTGGAGTCTTTAAGAATATATAGAGTAACTTTACTGGTTTCACAGTTCTATGATTTTCAAAAGTTAAATTGAGATGGAGAGACGTGTGACTATGCGATGATCTGTTTCGCATCTGATTGGAGTTGAAGAATTCTTTTCATTCTATACAGAAAAAAAGCTAGCACTGATTGCTATCTGTTTAAAATGCAATTTGATTGGTTCAATATGGTCACATGATAAAGCATAGTCATTTTAGTATAGTCATGGATCTGCAAGCATGGCTAACGTCAACAAAGTATTAAGTAGTTCAGGTAAGAAATTTAAAACTCGGCTCTCTGATTTCTCATTCTGAGCCGTTATCCATTACACAACTAGTACATCCCAGATCATTAAAAGTTAGTCTATTATTTTAACCTAGCTAGAGAACATAAGGTCTTTTCTCTTTTTTTTCTTTTTTTTTTTTTATACAATTTCCTTCCTCCTTCATCATTAGGATGACAGAGATTTAATTTTTCTGGTGGGTGTGGGATTTTCATATATAGGAAAAGAAGTTGAAAATGCAACTGGAGACTTTAAGAATATTTTAGATATTTTTAAAGACTCTAGTTGCATTTTCAACTTTTCCTGTATTTTTATAAGGAGTAGATATGGCGTTAAACAAACAAATCCTTCAATCCAATATTTTTACACGTGTGGGATGAAAAAAATATATATATATATATACACACACACACACACACACAATCACGTAATTGTACACAATCTGTTGGGATTTAAATTTTAGGAAGTTATCTCCCTTGGCCAAATTATTTAGGATAGCCACACAAAGGAAAAACTAAATTTATAATGTTCAAAAGACTTAAAGAAGTGGCTTGGGGTAACGTGAAAACGTAAATGTTAAAAAAAACATGATTCACTGATCATTCAGATTCTATTGATCATCAGCATACATTAAAAGATTATTATGGCACCTGCTGGAGTTCCAACTCGGCAACTGTATGTCAGGCCCTTGTCTGTTAGACCCTGCTTATTGCTGCTTTTCATGGTTTGATAGAATGACTTGGCTCAGGTCTTGGTTAATGGTATTCAATCTGCACACTCTTGGCCTTTCAGATATTTCCACCCATGT